CTTTAGAGAGAAAAGTTTCTATTGAAATGATGAGGTTGGATGCCAGATTGCAGAGTTTAGAATCAAGTGAAAGGAGAGAAAGTGAAAGCACTAAGTGTAAATGGATTTCTCAAGTTTAGCCAAAAAGGGGAGTTGAGATACAGGCCAACAGCTAGCAGACATGCTCAGACCAAGTGAAAGTTTTGAGACAAGGGCTTGTTTGTAGGCAACAAGGAACAGCCAAAAGACAAGGAGGCATTAAAGATTAATGAAGATTAGGATTAAGAGAGGGGACAATTTACTGAATAATATGAGAGGAAAAGGGATCAAAGGTGAATGTAGAGCCATTTGCCTTGGCCTAGAAAAGGCCCCCTTCTTCATGTTGAGTCTTAGGATGAAAGAGAAGTCAGTACAGAAGACATCTGAGTGATGTGAGATGATGGAGAGAGGAGCTACACGAGCACTTGTTGGTTTGTTTTTTTCATGGATTGTGAGGCAAAGTCTGACAGAGTTGGGAGACAGAACGCCACAGGAGACTTAAGGATGACACTTCAGTTAGTGAACTTCTGTTAAAGGTACTAAGACTTTTGGGACTCTGTGTGTGTGTGTGTGTGTGTGTGTGTGTGTACATATATGCAATACACCTTTAAATCCTGCCTTATGTTCAATCCTTTGTCATCGCCTCTATGGCCTCAAATAATTACGGATGTAGATCTTTAAAGTAAAAGGCTTGGTCATACCAGATACTGCAGATTAGATCACACAGCCACCAAGACCAACACATATATAGTGAATGGTGCACCTTTCTCAGTATTACATATCAAGCTTATACATGAGACTAGTAACCTTGTCACCCACACACCACCACACCCAACATGAGGTTTACAACTGAGTTGACTTTCTTTCCAATTGAATGTGATAAGAAAAGAACAAAGGTTCGGGAGTTAAGGGCCTATTGCTAGCTCTATCAATAACTACCTGATGACCTTGGTTTCGCCACAGAATTTTTAGAACTACAAAAAGCATCAAAGATCAGTTAGTACAATCTTCTCATTTTACAGGCAGGGAAACTGATGTCCTAAGCCTCCCTTGCCAAAAGTCACAAAGCTAATTAATTAGCTGAAGAACAAGGACTGGAAACCAGGTTTCCCAGTCATGTTCTAACATTTTAATCTGTAGGAAAGGGACAACACTACCTTCCCTACGCCTCCAACACACAGCTGTTTTAAGGCTTAAAAAAGAAGACATGTTCAAGTCCTTTGAAATTTATAAAACATTATATAAATGGAAGAATTTACTACTATAGAAAGTAAAACATTTAACATCTCCTATATTAAAATCAATCTCAAATTAACAAAAATATTTTAAAGCATCTTAGTTCTTATTTGTGACCAAGTATATTTTTTTTGCTTTCTGAATGTCAGTAGAGGTTTAGATAACAGTTCCCAATTAACACTGAAAGCACAAAAAAATTTCATATATGTTTCATATATATTCCTTTCCTCTCTTCCTTCCCCCTAATTTTAAGTACTCAAGTAGCATTCCCTCTTAAAATCTTAAAAATTAACCTGCCCCATGCCGCTTCCTCCTTGAACCCTTTTCCCAGTTCTTTCTACCATTTATATGTCATGTTCCACTTTCTTTTTTCGTTACTCATATATGTGTTACATGCTCCTAGGAGATGTTATGGTCCAATAAAGTAGTAACCCATCTTATTTAATCATTGTTATCTTCCCCAGAACTTGGCACAGATTTCTTCAAATAAATGCTGTTTAATAAATACATGTTGAATTAAATGTTTCAGTTTTAGGGAACTTTTTACAAAAGAGAAGCATAGCATTTCTGCAACTGGTTTAGGTAAATAACCTATAAATTTGTACAGTGTACCAGGTGTTCGTGGACAGAAATGAAAATATCTGAACATAAGTTAACAAAGGCACTATATAAAATCCATACCAAATTCTACCTGTTTGAATAGACTACATAAAGAGAGTTAAATGTTCAAGTTATTCATTGGTTTTGCTTTAGAGAGTGGTGTTATAGAAAAGAGTACTAGACAAGAAACTAGAGTTTCTCAGCTCCGTCACTACCTGTCCCTTTCTCTGGGCCTATTTCCTCATCTGTAAAATGAAGACACTGGACTCAACAGTCTTGAAGATCACCTCACAGCTCTAAATCCATGATCATATGAATACATATTGAGGACCAAAACATATCCTAGCAAGTATTCTGTATGGTCCAAAGGCTAAGACAGTAGTAAGAGGAATGAACTGGAGCTTACTCATCACACCTAAAAATAAAAGTATGAATAGATATAATCAATTGTATAATGTTATAAAATAAAACACAATGTTCAGACTCTCAATCTGAGTCCCAAAGTTTTCATTTAGGAACAACCAATGCAAATACAAATCTATTTCTGCTAAACTAGTCCTATTTGTTCTAAAGAAAAACAGCGATAGTGATGTCAAACAAGGAAAAGAATGCCCACAAAGCACCTAAGCAGCTGGTGAGAGCACTGAACTAGGAGTCAGCAAGTCCCCAATTCAGATCCAGCCTCAGACACTTTCTTACTAGCAATGTTTGTAAAGTTCATAAAAAAGTTTTCATATATAATAAAAACAATTTCTAAAAGAACTTTAGGATCATAAGCAATCCATCAGATAATAGACAACCCATCACATGTTCAGTCAATGACAGCAGCAGGAAAAAAAACATGCTTGTTACTGACTTTATATTTTTTCATTAAAATATTTATAGAATGCCTATCTGCAAAGTGATGTGGCAGAAACAAAGACAGAGTTTATATATGGGAGATAAGACAGGTACACAAATTACTATTATTTTTTAAAATGCCATGAGGAGTAAAGTGTCCTGGCATTTTAGGGATTACTTCCAATTCAAGAAGACTTCATGTAAATGTCAACATTTGAGTTGGCTCTTGAAAGATGGGCAGAATTTCATCAGGCAGAAAGAGATAAGAAAAAAGGGCATTCTACACAGAGAAAAGCAAAAAAGGTATAAAGGGTGTGGTCCATACTTTGTTAATGAGCTTTAAGGTTTACTAAGAACCTTCCCCAGAATAAATCAGGTATTGCAATTATTATTCCCATTTTAAAGATGAGAAAAGTGAGTCTCACCAAGACAAAGGAACTTGCCTATCATAAGGCTAAGTAGTCAGAATTTGAACCCAGGTTTTCTAACTTGTTAAGCCCCTTTTTCAAATACACCACAACTCTGAACTGTGAATGACAAGGATACCACATGGTTGGAATGGATGGTACAAGTGGCCCATAAAAAGAAAAGGTTTAAAAGGAGGAGGAAGTATGTCCTATTATGGAGAATTCTGAATGCCAGCCTAGGGAATTTTTCCTGCATTTTGTAGTCAATGAATAGATATTGAAAGTTTTTGAACAGGAAGTGATTTGATAAGGTTTGTTATAGACAAGTCCAGAGGCAATAACACCACTATCTCCAAGGGTAAAGATGACATTTTATATTTATTTTATATCCCCAATAGCATGTAGTCTAGTGCTGGGTAGCACAGCACACTGGATGGATAGCACACTGGACTTTGAGACAGATGACCTAGGTTTTCACTGGGACTCAGACACAAGCAGGTAACTTTTCCTTTTTTCTCATCTGTAAAATGGGAATAATTCACCTCCACTTTCTAATTCATAGGATTGTGAAGAAAGCACTTTGGAAACCGTAAAGCAATAAACAAATATTATTATTATTACTGGCACATAATAGGTACTCAATATTTACTATTTGAATAACTTACAATTATATACTTTTTAACATGGAATTTTCTTAAAGTGAGGCAAACCTGTATGGGCAGGTTTTTAAATCAGTACAGTATTTTTTTAAAAAAATGGAATCCCTATTCCTCCCCATGCCCCATCAAAACTGCTTCCCTAAAGGATGTGACCCTTTCGACAAAAGTTTTCAACTCATGTTATTTAGCTGCAATGCAGAAAATTCAGCTCAGAAAAAAAAAGTTGGGGGAAAACATCGTTTATACAAGCATTTAGCTTAAGAAACTCATTTTTGTCTGAAAGACTACAGGCAAACTTTAATCATCCAACTACAAAATTATCAATTATCCATTAGTCGCTCTCCACACTACGATTAAAAAACAAGAGATTTAAACGCTGTCCTATTAATTAGCATAAAAAGTTGGGAGTACTTTTACAATCCAAGTTAGATTCCACATGGGTGTGGTACATTTTATTTACAAGGCTTAAAAAAAAAAAACATGAATGGATCAGACTCTCAAATTTTAAAGCGGGCCAGGAATTTTTTTTTTTTTTTAATTAATCACTTTCACTGGTGAAATGGCTCGGGGAAGTGGAAGCTGAGTTCCGCCACCGAGATTTGGGATATTTCGGGGTGGGGGAGGCAGAAAGGAAAGGGAGAGGAAAAAGAAACCACCGGAAAAAAAATAGAACAATCCAACTATTTGGAAAGTAATCCAATCAATGCAAGCCGACCACCGCCCCGCCCCGGGAATAAAATGCGAATTATTCAAAAGGGAAGTGACTGGCCCGGACGCCCGGAGCGGCGCCCCCTCCCCCACCGCGGGGGCGGGGCGCAGGGGGCTAAGGGGGTTCGGCGGAGCCCAACAACTTAACAAAGTTAGTTCGGACGCCTTGGGAAACTTGGCCCGTGCGGGGGCAGCCCTGGGACTCTGTGCCCCAAACTTGCCCACAGAAGTGCCTGGCTGGGCCGGGCCGGGCCTGGGATCCCCTCCCCGCCCCCCCCAGCTCCCCGGGCCAAGCCCTCCCCGGGCCAAGCCCCCCCCGGGCGCGGCGGGGCAGGGGGCGCCCAGCCGCCGAGGCCCCCGCACGTCCCGGGCAGGGAGGGGCGCCGCCCGGCGCGCCCCGAAAAGTTCAGGGGAAGCCGCAGGAGGGTCGCGGGGCGGGGTGGGGCGTGGTGGGGCGCCGGGAGGTGATGGCGGGGGAGGAGGGGCGCTCGGAGGGACCCCGGCCTGGAGACGCGGGAGCGCCGGGAGTTACCTGCGGTGAGAGGGGTGCGAGCGCAGGAGAAAGAGGAGGAGGATCCCAAAGGCCCCTACGCCGAGCGCCGCCGTCGCCGCCGCTTTGTCTCCCGTCCCGACTCCCGAGGAGGAAATGGGCCGTGGCCCGCGCCTCCGCCCTCGGCCCCTCACCGGCCCCCCGCCCCGCGCCGGGCTCTTCCCTGCACCGCCCTCCGTGGCCGCCCCGCCTCGCCGCTCTTCCCGGCTCCTCCCCCGCGGCCGCTCCCGGCCATTCCCGCCCCGCGCCTTCTCCCTCTTCTACTCTGGGAACGAGAGAACTATACACATTTCCCTGGGAGGCGCGGGCGACGCGGTGGGGTCCTCCCCTGAGATAAATTCCCCAAGCCCTGAACCGCAGTCCCAGAGTGGAAAAGTCCCCTGGAGTGGGGAAGTGGGGAGGAAAAGATTAAAGGGGAAAAGGGAGGAGAAGTTAATCCCTGGAAGAGCTTAGAGAGGGGGATGGGGGGGTAGGGAAGGTGAGTCATGAGTCATCTGGCTGCCCAGCTCAGGTGAGTCTCAGGGTGGGGCTTCTGCGCAGGCTCCGCCCCTTAGGAGCTCTGTGCCAGGTGCAGGGTAGGAGCTCAGATAGCTTTCCTTTGCCTATCCCAATTCAATTCAAGTTTATTAAGCGCCTAGCATGTTCCAGGCACTGTGCTAAACAGCTGGGAGAGATGTCTCCATGGGACACTTTGGGCATATTCTCTTCCCAAAGTGAATCCTTCAGAAAAGTGTTACTGAGTCTTGAGGTAAGAACTCACATTTATATTGCCCTGTAAGTTAAGAGAGAAAAAAAATCTTCTCTCACAACATGGGTCAGGGCAAGGAGTGGCAAATCTGGAATCAGTGGCCCCACACTTCTTGATACGCCCTAAAACTGACAGCAGATCTTAAAATGTGAAGCACTAAATGTGAAATTCTGCCTCCTGCTTTTCAGAATAACCAAAAAGATTGGTACTAGCCTACCAAACTGATCAGATAACCGACAGTTGGGCAGGATTGTCTTTTAGATTCAGGGAGAGTTTGGTGTTATTGTTCTTTTACCAAGTAATAACAAAGGATTCCCTTGAAGAAAACTGTATTTCACTTGGAGTTTTGCATAAGGTCTTCCCAATTTAGTTTGGTGAGAGGAGAGCTTAACCTGCTCTGTGCCCTAGCTTTAGCTACCTCTATGGAGGTATGAAGGGGTTGTAGTGGAAGTCCTGCCATTTCTCTTATTTGATCCACCACTTGAATACAAGCTACTCATTATATAATGATGCATTACAACTCTGATAGAATGTTCTCACAAGAAGGAAATTTATTTGAGAGTTAAACATCTCCTTATGCAACAAAATATTTATATTAGCACTTTATGGTAGCAAAGACCTGGAAACAAAGTAGATGCCCATCAGTTCAAAAATGGCCAAATAAATTTATTACAGCTACATGGCACAATGGTCAGGAAGATCTGAGTTCAAATTTGAACTCAGACACTTACTAACTGTGTGACCCTGGGCAAGTCACTTAACTCTGTTTGCCTCAGTTTCCTCATCTGTAATATGAACTGGATATGGAAATGGCAAAGCACTCCATTATCTTTCCCAAGAAAACCCCAAATGGAGTCACGAAGAGTCAGATACAACTGAACAACAATATATGTTTTAAAAAAAAGGCATACATGATAAACATAAACATAGAAAGACTGTGGATGAATTGATACAAAGTGAAGCAATCAGAGCCAGTAAAACAATTATCTAGAACTACAGCGTTGTCAATGGAAAGAACAATCACCACCGAACAACTGAAACTGAATGTCATGAAATTATAAAGAATGATTATGATCCCAAAAATGAGGTATAAGAACATATCTTCATCTCCCCTCCTCTTTTGTAGAGATTGGGGTGAAGGGAGGTACATAAGGTAGAACATTGCACATAATGACAGATCTTTTTTGATGTGTTCATTGGTTTTAATGAATTTTTTTTCTCTTTTTCCTCTCTTTAAAAAAAAGTATTGTTATGAGAGATGGCTCTCTGGGGTTCTGAATGAGTAAGGATCCTGGAAGAAATGTAGACAATGTAAAAATCCATGAAAATTATCCTTTTAAATTAAGCATCATATTGGCCACCAAGTTTGTCCCATTGCAAACTAAAAATTAGGGGGTAGGATCATAGACTTAGGGCTCAAAGTAAACTTAGAGTTTATGTTAGGATTATAGATATAGAACTGAAAGGGATCACATCCAGCCCTCTCACTTTAGAAATCAGAAAATTGGGGCCCCAAGAAGTTAGGTTAAATGACTTGTCCAAGCTCAAACAGGTAGTAAATCTCATCAGGATTTGAACCCAGGCCCTCTCTTACATGGGCAATTAGGTGGCGAAATGGATAGAATGCTGGTCCTGGAGTTAGGAAGACTCATCTTCCTGAGTTAAAATCCAGCCTCAGACACTTACTACCTATGTGACCCTGGACAAGTCACTTAACCATGTTTGCCTCAGTTTCCTCATCTGTAAAATGAACCGGATATGGAAATGGCAAACCACTCCATTATCTTTACCAAGAAAACCCCAAATGGAATCACGAAGAGTTAGACACGACCAAACAAAAACAACCTCTTTTACATCAAATCTAACACTCTTTCCACTAACCCAGAGAAAGTCAATCAGTCAACTAACATTTATTAAATGCCTGCTATGTGTCAGACTCTATGCTAAGCACTGGGTAAACAAAGAAAGTCAAAATAAACAAGCAGTCCCTGCTCTCAAAGAGCTAAGTCTAATGAGAGAGACAACATGCCAAAAACTATGTATAACAAGATATATGCAGGATAGATTGGGGGGTGATCTCCAAGGGAAGTTGTAACAATTAAGAAGGACCAGGAAAGCCTTCTTTGCAGAAGCTGAGATTTTAACTGATATTTAAAGGAAGTTAGGAAGTGGAGATGAGGAGGGAGAGAGTCCTGGGCATTCAAGATAGCCAGTGAAAACTGATTTCAGAGTTGTTTTTGTGGGAGGAACAGCCAGGATGTTAATGCCACTAGATGTTACAGTAAATGGAAGGGGGTGAGGTATAAGGAGACTGAAAGGCAAATATAGGATTTCATTTTTGATCCTGGAGGTATAGGGAGTCATTGATTTGATTGAAAAGGAGATGACGGGGATCGGGATGTGGTCACACCTAGAAGATTGATTTGAAAGCTGAGTGGAAGATGGATTAGAGAGGGGAGAAGTTTCAGCCTCGGAGACCAACGAGCTGGCTATTGTCAGGTGTGATGTAATAATGGCCTGGGTCAGGACAGCTGTAGCGTTTGGCAAGAAAAGAGAGTATATTCGAGAGATGGTGCAAAGGTAGAAATGACAGGACGTGAGAAATGATTGCATACAAAGAGTGAGGGAGAGAGGAGTTGAGGATGATACCTTGGCTGCAAGCCTGGGTGACTGAGGATGGCAGTGTTCCGGACAGTAATAGGGAAATAGGAATAGGAGCAGATTGGGGTGAGAGTTGGGGGAGTGAATTTTCAGATTTGGACATTTGGATTCAGTTTTGGACGTTTGAGTTCACGATGTCTGTGGGACATCTGAATGTCCCACTGTGAGATGTCTGAAAGGCAGTTGGAGAAACTAGTCTGGAGTTCTGAGAAGGTCAGGGCTATTCAAGTGGATCTGAGAGTCATCAGCAAGAAATGATCATTGAAACCATGAAAGCTGATGAGACCACCAAGTGTAATAGTAAAGAGAGATAAGGCTCAATACAGCACCTTAAAGACAAAATATTATCAAAGTTGATCCTTAAAACAACCCTATGAGGTAGGAACTACTAATATCATTCACCCCACCTTACACATGAGGAAACTGAGGCTCAGGGGAATCCAATGACTTGCCCATGTACCACTGCCATATTGTAATGTCAAATGCCATCATTTCAGTCAGTCAGTTAACAAGCATTTATTAAGCACCTACCATACACTTGAAACCATGGGGCATGCTGGAAATGTAATCTAAAGCAAATGTTCCTTGAAAATGACCCCAGGAATGGAGTCTCCTGCTACAAATTGACTTCCTATTGCATTTATGTTAAACAATATGCTAAGCACCCCTACGGACTTGAAAAGGTCTTTAAATTCTGAAATTTTTTTTTACTTTTCCCTTGAGGAGTAGAAATTAAGTACTGAACCCTCTTCCTTTGGGTAAAGAGGTCTGGAACTACAGTTCTGAAATGATGCAGAATATTACATATACTGTCAGACTTGATCACTGTGTCTATTTGTTTTCATAACTGTTTTTCTTTGTTACAGGAGAGGGCTTATGGGATATTGGAGGGAGGATATGAGAAATGACTGATTTTTTTTTTTAAAAGGCATCAATAAAACTTTTTTTTAAAGTGTTTTCTTCCCTTGAGGTTAAATTTATCTACCAAAAGTACCTTCTATTCTGCTGCCTTATAGTTTTCAGTACTTTGCCTAAATTCCATAGAGCTAAAAGGGACCTCAAAGAACTAACCATTTTAAAGATAAGGAAACTGATGCCTAGAAAGATGACCTGATTTTCCCAAATCACATAGCCATTAAGTTGCAAGGCTGGAATTCAGGTTCACTGAGTCCAAATCCAGTCCTCTTCCCAATGAAAATTAGATTGATCCGCTGTAGAGGTAAATGGATAATGTTGATCCCACCAGATTGTGTCCTGGCCTTAGGAAGACACATTTCTGAAGTGAAACAGGTAATAAAGAAAGCTATAATGTGCTCAGCTGTAGTGTAGCATGTCCAAAGTAATGTTATTGAAAAAGTGTGTGTTGGGGGGTGAAGGCAGTTAATGGTCTTCTTGGAGTCTAAAAAAGGGAAATCCAAAGAATAAAAATGTGCCAGTGTGTCTCCAACACTGTCCAAAGAAGAGAGACAACACATTGTATCTGGTAGATATAAATATTCTGCTGGCTTAAAAAGTTCATTCTGTAGTGGACCAAGGACAATTATCTAGATTGTCACAACCAAGATGAAATGTCCCTCAAGACAATCCAATCCCCTTTACAGAAGAGAATCTTTCACAGTAGTTAAAACTGGAAGGGGTTTCATCTAGCCCAGGGTTTTTTTTTTAACCTTTTTTTGTTTCATGGACTCCTATGA